CTATCTGCCCTACAGTCAATGTATCAAGAGCCTAATACTAGTGATCCGGACGTGGCACACGTGGCACGGGCGAAACAAGCTACATCACGCCAGAGACCGGGAAGATCTCCGGCTCAATCGAATCGCCTGGCTCATCGAGTGAAGAGCCCTGCAGCATATAAACGGGCACAAGTGGGGGGAGATGTATCGAAAATCAATGGAGTTATACCCTTGATATGAAAAACAGTGAAAAGCAAATTTCAGTCCACTTCCAGGGAAAAACAATTCAACGGCGAAAATCGTGTTTTCGCATAGAGTATTTCACATGAAACCTGATATTGGGAGGTACAAGATTTGTTCACTCGTAATATTGGTGTCTCCGTGAAACTCCAATATTATACCCTGCTAATACAACACAGCGCTGAGATGATCTCAGTGCATTAGCAGAAATGTATTGCAGCACCGATCTGGCACGAGCGAACTCGTGGAGTTAATCACACAACTGGAGTATGAACTTGCTGAAGTGTCCATGGATCTCACAAATATGATAAGTCGAATACGACACGACCAAGAGCTTGTGAGTGAAGGACACGTATTCATCAGTTTCCTCATAACCCACTTTAGATTGAGGAAGCGCTAGCAGGGATGAAGGATTGCCCCAGTATTGCAGACAAAGTTGCTTTCGCACGAGAGTTGTGCGGTCACCTCATTGATGGGCATCATTCGTCGAGTAGGACCGATCGTATCCGCTCGAGAGCTCCAGGCATAGATAGCAGTAACACGTCTGGGCTGTTGCCCTCTTATACGAAGTAACTGCTGACAGTTGTGGTATGTCATCAAGGCTACTTTTGAAAGGTCTTGTTGGCCTCCTCAGCGTGATGAATCAGCAATAGAAGGCTTGGTACGGTGGAAGGATGAGAGGAATGTTTTCATCAACAGCACGAAGTATTCCGAATAAGAATAGAGTGGCGATACATTCCGACTCAGGGCGTTGGATGCCAAACTTGATCAACTGCAGAAACTCCGTCGCGTGTTGCGAGCTCGCATTGACAGTATCGATACGAAAATCAAGACAACAACATGGATATCGTGAGTGAGCATTGTAAACTGCTTGTGCATGCAATGGGTGGTCTCACTCGATACTCCTCTCTCAATTATGTTGGACCGCTGATAGTCAATGCTTTTGTGTTGTCTATTCACATGGAATTAGTATTATCCAATTCGCTACTCGACTCTGTCAACCGACTGCTTTGGCATTCTGTAAGCATCCAGCTTGTTTCCTCGAGGCGAGCGTCATCCCGTCGAGCCACGCGGAGTTGGAGGTCAAAATTCGAGATGGAAAGATTACATTCATCGAACTCTCAATTCGCCGGAGGCAAACAGGAATATCACTTAATATCACTATAAAGGGCCGCCCTTTATAGTGATATTCACCACAACCGAATTCACACGAAGTCGTTGAGGAGATATTTTCTTATAGCTATGATCATAGTAACGTAATGGAAGTTAACGCTAGGGTATCAGGCATAGAAATACACAAAGGAAGGCATCAACACAATCTCCTGATAATATTCTACTCGCAATTCAGCTTCACAACAGAGTTGCTCGGGGACGCAAGTTGACGTGCACGACCATCGTTTTGAAATTGGTTTTATGAACGGTTTTTTGAATCGATTCGTAGTGTCTCTTGAAGCACCACTCGGACGAGTCGAAGCACCCAATGCTAGCCGGATTGATCTGAGACGTCCTTGCGGTTGCGGCTCCCTCTACCTTTGCTATGTCCGAAACGCAGAATCCAGAATCACCTAAAAAGAGAGCACGTAGGTCGGGAGTGTCTGCGTTCTGTATTTTTAGTTTTGTTTTAGCGAGAAGAAGAAAGCGAAATAATGAGAGCTACAATACGTATATTTTTCGAGTATTGAAACAGGCAAGTCATTCGTCTCGGTTCGATCGTCATTGGGAGTTTGATTATTTCAGGTTCATCCGAGCACGGGGATCTCCAAGAAAGCGATGATGATTATGAACTCGTTCGTCAATGATACGTTCGAAAAAGTAAGGTTGAACCTGCTGCTGGCAATTCGACGCTGTCCCTAGATTGTTTCGGAAGCAGCGAAATTGTGCAAGTACTCGAACAGAGGAACGCTTTCGAGCCGAGAAGTAGCCTTCATGAGATCATCTGCGTGTTGGAGCTCATTTGTTAGATTCAAACTGCGATCCGGCTGGTCCTGCCTGGCGAGCTAGCTAAGCATGCCGTGAGTGAAGGCACCAAGTCAGTTACTAAATACACTAGTGCAAATACATGATGACTTTCTCTGTGGTTCATCGGGGTAGTTCGATTATTTATAGTGCGTCGTTTCTTGTCGTGAAAGATATGTTGTGTTACTGCTTTGAATATGATGAACATTTTTTGGTACTTGTAAAACTCTGGGAGTGTTATTATCACTGGTTGGAATGAGTCAAGCAAAAGATGCGAAACTTGTCGACTTCGAAGTGTGGCTGAGACTAGAGCGGGACAAATTACACAAAGAAAAACAGGCAGACAGGCCTACTGGTTTTCATACCTAAACGTGACTACTTTAGGTGTTGGAACTTGAACGCGACAAGATCAGAGAAATCACTGGTAAAGACTTTTCTGGGTCGACTTTGACGAAAGGAGTCGACGTTGAAGCTCTGGCGGGAGATCGTGAGCGGATCGAAGGACTGCGAACAGCGATCAAAGAAAGGATTCGGGAGCTTGAACTGGCCAGGGATGATATCTCGAGGGCTCGGGAAATGCGGAAAAAAGAAGAGGAAAATCGTGAAAAACTCGAGTCGGGGCCTCCACTGTTGGGAGAATCGATGGTTGGAAAAGCATCTCAGGTTGACGATTCGAAAGATGATGGAAACTAACGCGTTGAATTATAAAAAACGAATGAAGTGCAAAATTCCGGTTAAGAAGGAAATGCCTGGAGGAAAAAAAGTAATTTTACGATTTTTTTCGTGAATGAGGAAAAATAGTTTTATTTAATCAGAATAACCGCAAGTCGAGTCAGCGTTGGACTGAAAACAAGCCGAAGAATGCGGTTACTGAAAGAGCCTCTCAAACTAGTGATAGAAGTCAACGGAAAGAGAGGTGTGTACACCAGTGCTGCCGCTGAGGCGATCAGCTTTAGGCGATCTTCTGAGTCCGAGGGCTTGTCGTATGAGAGAGCACTACAGCCAATGATGGTGTATCCACCTGTGATGATTCCGTATTATGGAGTACCAACTTACCCACCCTGGCCATGTCCACCTCCTGTTGAGCGACTAACGAAGGCGACTACAACTGTAGAGATCCCCAAGGAAGAGGGAGCACAAGTCGGCCTCGCTCGAGGAGAAATGACAGAGTCCGAGAGTGTTCCGAGCAGTACACCGGTTGGCTACGAGTAAGAGCCCTTTTGAATGGTTCGATTGAATCATTCGCGTGTTAGAGAGGCGGTCAGGCGAGCTGATGATGGCCCTGTGTTGAGGAATGGCTGCGAATGCATGTAAATACTCCTGTACTTACGTCTAGTGTTTTTGAGTCTACGATACTTCACGTTTGATTGGAACACGATTAATCCTTGTCATTAGCATCGCGTATGTCGACGAGCCTTCTTATGAACAAAGAGGCTCACAACGACGATATCGGTCTATGAGATGAATGTATAAGATTTACCTCAACTTGATCGGGCGTCCGTGTTTGCTCACCCGACTTGAGAAGTATTTCTATTAAAGGGAGAATAAACAACTCTTAATCTGACAGGCGCGTTTTAGAAGATTCTCCTTAACGATGGCTACCAGCAGCTTCCAAGAATCCCACACAGCTACATCGGCTCGCCACCTAGTGTTTATCGCCCAGTTGAGGCTCCTATCCAAATCTACTTGCCGTTGCCCCATTGACATGCGTTGGTCTATATGGGCCTTCATTCGGCGCCAACAACCACCGAGGAGTATCTTTCTCCTGGGATGTTCCACAAGGAGAGGTTCCATAGCCTCACTTGCAGCTTGTCGTCAGAGCTCTAGTGTTATCATTGAGCGCATCAACGATTACAGGCTCAACAGACGGGTGATGGAATTGCATCAAGATGGTCAAGTCCAAGAATTGCTCCCTCCGGCATTCGGTATGCGGAAGGTCGCGGCTGCTTGCAGCGATGGTGTGGTCCTGTATTGTGTCAACCTGGGGGGTTGGGGTATCTTTAGAAGAGGCCTTGAAGACGGCAAACGCATGTCGCCGATCGGCCTCCCTTTTTTTCAAGATGACGATTACCCTCGAGACGTGTGTGTGTCCGGTTCGAGATTGTTTTTGCTCACACTTGAAAAGTGTCGTATCTACACCTACCTCTTGAACAAGAAAGAATGGCGGTATCTTTTTGATGTGGAGGGTGGCGTGAGATCGTTCGACGCGACAGAAGGCACCGATTCTGATCGACGAAGTCAATTTGTTTACATAGTCAGCGTTGACGGTCATCATGAGATTCACTATCGGCGCTCCTGTGGTGAAGTAATTGCTACCCCTCTGGCCAACGCTTGGAGCTGTAAATTCATCCCCAATGCGGATGGTCTCGCATGTGCTGTGTCTGCTAGTGATGGTGGATCGAGCGGACCTAGTCTGTGGAGCGTCTCTCTCGTCGACCTGTATTCGAGCTCGATCTTGTGTATGAGTGATGCTTTTCCTGGCTACCACATTAGGTTTATGACGGTGATGACTGATTGGAATGTTCTTGTTGCTATGGGCTGTCGAGAGGATTATGAAGTCGTCCAGTTGAGACTTGAGTGACCCGTCGTAATCGGGTTTCTTGTCAGCGATTGTGCTCATGATTAGTGTGGGGGTGACCTCACATGCAAATTCTGATTTTCTCTCTCGATTTCCGCTTGGTTGAGTTCAACGAGTGAGAAAGACTTCGTCACTAGTGACTTAGTTACTTCGTGGAAATACACTGTACGTCCAATCTCCAATCTTTTTTGGAAAAAACTTTTTCGTTCAGAAAAAGGTTTAACAATCATATAGCATTTTCGAAAGACTCGAGTCTATTCAACAGACTCTATTGTGTTCTTCGGGGAAAGCGGAGCTACTCAAAAACTTCATACTGAGATGGCAGAGAGCTGATGATAGAAGCCAGGCCTTAAACGAGATGTGAGACCATAGAGCCTTGCTGAACTCCACAGCTCCGATCGATCGTAAAGAGTGTACCTTGATGAGTAGCGAGCTAAAGGGCAGTGCATGTTGTTAATAACAACTGTTATGAGCTCGAACGACTCCAACTGTGAGTGATAAAACTCTCAAGCTGATATTGGCAAGGAGAGCGGCATCTTCCACATTTGTGCGCTATTTTGAGTCTGCCTCAATATGAGTCTCCCTCGAGGATATTGGACACTGCCGAATCCCTGCCTCAAAGCTAGGCTCCTCGATTATGGAGGCTCGATAGCAGCGTGACTCCCAATAGAATCGTCCCGTACTGTAAGTAACCCAACTGTAAATTGTGAAACGGCATTGAAACGATGAAAGCCCATCCATATCACGGAATAGATCGATGGGAAGGAGGAGGGACTCTACTCGTGGCCTTGGACGGAGGGATGGACAGAAGAGAAATGAAGTAGGTGAGAATCGAACCTGAGATTTCCTACATCGATAAAAACGAAGGTCTCCTCAATTCTGAGGTGTTCCGAGATGTACACAGCATGCCCAGGATGTTCCTCGTATAGGCCCAGACGTAGTTGTCGTCCAACGCCATTGGACCAACGGCTTGAACCTGTCCCAGACGTGAGGGTATTCACGCTCAGTACCTGACGAAGGTGGCTCTCAAAGTGAATGTTAGTACGGATTGACCAAAGTCATCAACCAGAGTACTTAATCGTGCAAATCGCCTGATGGAACTCCTCAGCGTAAGGAACGAAAGTTTGAAAATGTGAGACGTGAAATGGCGTTGAAGCTACAGCAGAAGTCGAATAAGAAGTTTTTGGCGAGAGTCCATCGGATGGACTTTATCCGCCCACTCTCCCACTCCTTGATGTTGTCTGTCTTCCTAGGAGGTGCCGCAGTCACTTGTGGCTCCCGTCCTGAAACTGCGCGCAATGTCAGTATGGGAGCCAATCAGTTCGATCCGAACTGATCCGGGATCACTGGAGTGCCTCCAGCGGAGTCTGGTTGGATCTGCAACGGGGAGTATCTATCCCCTTCCTAGGGAGGGAGTATCGGGCTAATCACGAGATCAGGCTAATGCGAAAATTATTGTTGCGTTTCGGTTCCCGCAACTTCACGAGAGAAATGTACTGATCTAATTTATCTTGTTTATAGTTTCTATAACAATTCTTGCAGTTCTTTGATCTACCGAGTATATGCTTCGACAAATGTACGCGAATAGATAGAGTCAGTTACTAGGAGTATTGAGATCGACGACTGTGATGTTGGGTTCATAGATGGACATGAACTTTCTCGTTTACTCTGTAAGTGTGACTTACTAATGAAGATTCGGGCGTTGCCAGCCATAGGCATCCCTATTCCCAAGATGAACAAAGTTTATTGCTGATATCATATCAATCTAATAGTATGAAATGGGACATCAGGGATTCCTTGAAGCCTGCCCTCTGGGACATAATCACACAGGTTGACTAAAGCTCAGATGACCATCAGGGAGTGTGATCGCTTCAAGTAAGCAGTTCAACACTGTCGCAGAATTGGTAAAAAATAGAACTCGCAAAACTCAACCAGGAATATCTTTCAAACAACATTGTATTCGGGCAAGTAATAAGATAATTCACTCATATGATATGGCCGTTCGGAACGGGCGAAGTAATTCTGGAATACGGGTATCTATTTCGAGGCTGGAAATTTGAGTTTCAATCACAAATGATCCCACTGGAGTTCGTGATTGAGTTGCGGAATCCCTTGTGATTGAATATAGTACGATACAGATGGTGAGAATCGAGGCGGCCTCGACGAGGCGAGTTGATCTGCTATTGGGAGCTCGTATCCATTGAAGTCCAACATTCAATAATCGACTATGCTACCACCCAGACTCTGGGTCCCAGAGATATGCCTTAGCAGTAAGATCAGCTTGCATGAGCACGCGAGAGTCTCGCGGCGAGACTATCGCGGTTTGATAGGTCCTATCGGATAGGAAGATCATTTTCGTTGGCAAGTGACTCCCAGAGTTAAACTCCAATTCCACCCGGATTTTCTCTATTCGCCCACTTTCTCCATTTACCCCTTTTTTGAGAACCAATATAGCTGGTGATAGGACAAAATTTACTCGTGATTCCAATGAGAGTCGTCAAGCACTAGCTCTCAGCGAAAAACCTCTCAAAAGGCGAAAAAATCGCTGAAAGTGAAATGTTTCACTGAAACTTTTTCAGTGAAATATTTGAAACATTTCACTGAAAGATTCTCGAAATATTCCATTATGAAATATTCCAGCCACCTGCTAAGCTTAACTTAAGGCTGAGCTTACCACTGGTAAGACCAAACAAGCTGAATCAATAATTCTTTATAAGCCTCCAAGGTCGCGATCTGGCACATTTTGACGCTACTGCGGTGTCACTTGGCAGCCAAGTCTTGGCTAAAGGTCGAGTCTTCCCAGTGCTAACTCAAGAGTGTCGTTGTCTAGGGAGTTAACCATTAGGAAATGATAGTGATACTAACTATAATAGAGCTACTATCAACATCATAAACCGATAATCTGTTTAATAATCCCGCAACCGGGGGCACGTGTGCAAGCGTTGGGCGCTTAACCTATGCGTGCCAGCGGAGCGATCGATGTCATGTTTGCCGAAAAAGAGATTGCCTGCAATGGAGGGTCCCTTCCGATGGCTTGGTGCAGTAAACCCAAACCGCACTACGATTACTACACAAAAAGTAGGTGATGGACACAAAACGAAAAAAAAACTAAAAAGGGCAATAAGAAAAGAAATGCCGGCGTGGAACTGTCGGGATGATTGAGAGTTTTCGTCATTATATCGCCAACGAGAAGGATGATTGATCCGATACACGTTGAGGCCAGAGGATGAATGCGTCAATGTCCTCCAGCACAGACAGAGCTTTTCACCGAGTCGGGCATAACGGGGCTCCACCCACCAAGTTTAAGGATATTGCACGGACCTGCATATGATATGCAGCAACCTTGGGGACAAAATATGCGCGGTTTGAACAAGGTCTAGTTTGAATCGCGCATAGTCACTATGCGTTACCTGGTTTGTTTCCGGTTCGCTCGATATAGCCGAAGCCTTTCACTCCCCAAGACTCCCCCCAGGTGTTCATGATTTTCCAATAGCTACGACACAAATTAACTAGCAGGAATTACACTGGTACACTGCACTCACGGTGTTCCTTTTGAAGAAGTGCCATACCCAACGATGATCACGTAATGGCTTGGATCCAACGCTTCACAATCCTTGGCTACAAGGTTGGGCAGAGATATGCTCGACAACATCGAGTACGCTCCCACCCGTTATGATGCCCTCACGGTAATGTCGGAATGCGGGAGTCGAAGCATACATACTGACCGCCACGGGCCCGATTGCCACATTCCTTATCATAGCTTCTTCATCAGCTGGTGGTATGGTCACCGTTTGAGTTAATTGCCAAGGCTGAGAAAAATCAGAAAGGCTCGAACGGTTGGGGTCAAACCCCTTCTGCTAGATTGCTCGACTTCATCACTTCGATCCTTTTTTGCGCCCTTTGGACGAAGTCTGTCCAGGCGATATCTCCTCGACGAAGAGCATTAACAGTGATACATTCATGTGGTACAAGAACTTGCATTGCATGAAAACCTCAGACATTCGCTCGAGACAGCTGCCTCACTTTCAGACACTGCTGCTTCACATCAGTGGTGATTCGTTTCTTGCACAATCCGACCTTAGCCTCATAAGGGTAGCTGACATTCTTGACGATACCCTCCGCTATGACATATTGTAATGAAAGCCTCACTGAACCTTTAGTGCAACCCCTGAAGTACACTGTGTTGCAATGACTGTGAGAACACGTACAAGGTGGATTCCTTATCGAGGATCCACGATCAGACAAACTGAGCTAACTGATCGGGCTAACTGAAGAACGCAACAATGAGCTCATGAAATGGCTAGCATATCGGCATAAAGTCTAACCAAGCCGGTGTCGGCGTTGGACTTTAAACTGACACACACACACACACACACACACACACGATCAGACAAAAGTATCGTCGTCGACTCACATATTGCCATATGGCCGACTACAGTCGACTATCTGTTGAACTGAGAATGGGACGACTTTGGGAATCCCAGCGTGTATCTTGAAACGGCTTTCCAACACGACTGAAGAGGAGCAGCCAAGGCAATGAACAAAGACGGGCACGAATGAGGTTTCGCGCCGAAGTATTCGATCCAACTGGAGACTCACCAGCGGCTGCTATCGCGTAGCAGCTACCACAATTCTTTGTTTGATCTCGCACTGGCCCCAACGCGCCTAGAGCCTCCCAATCCACCGACGCAGGAGGAGCCTTCAAGTTGTCTTCTAGGTCTGGGAAGGTTATGCTCTTCGTGAAGCGATAAGAGAGTAGCCTCACAGGTTGACCCATTGATATTCGAGGATGTTCGTTCCTCCTCGGGTTCAGGATCCTGAACACACGTTAACGCTTCATTGAATACTTCACTTGGTATATCAGCATGCTCATTGAGGCCGATCTCATGGGATATATCGCCTGAATTACACAACAGTAGAGCATAATCGTTCGCATCGTGGGTGCGGCATCATCCACCATAGGCTTTCAGATCGTTTATCTCCCTCAAACTATGCATGAACGCAGCCTTCGCAACCTCGTACTGTTCCTTCGAACCATACTTCTTGTTGTACCTACGAGATTGGAATAGAGGGCCTCTCTAAGAGGGGGACCTGCGTGGCTGTACGCCAACTAACGATGTCAATCTGACGGTGCATCTCACGTCCTTATGAACTCCCGGAAGGCTTGCTCGATGTCACTAACTCCAGTCACCTGGCTCGAGCCTCTGACCACACCCTGAGCCACGATAACGAGAGATAGAATTCCGACGGTGAACCACATAGAAGTACAGGGGAGACGGATCGGGCGAGAAGACTGAACTGACAGGAGAAAACGACTGACGTTCAGCGTTCAGCCGCATGAAATTTTCAACAACGGGGCGCTGACCGCGATGAACTTCGAGAGAATGAAGGTAGCATAGGACTCCTATGATAGGAGATGTTGTGCCAGCGGCCCTCACGTTTGGCTGTTCATGGCGAGTACACTACCCACCAAGTTCGTGGCACAAACGCGCAACGGACATGTCGCGTATGGGGACAACGCCTTCAACGACGGTCCAGGCAGCCGCCTCCAACGGTGATCGTGTCTGTCGATGACCGTGTCTGTCAGACAGACTCTGCCTTGACTTCTTCATTTTCTTATAGATGGTCTATCCGTGTACGGTTTGTGGCAGGTTTACACCGCACGAGGTTGTGCGGAATCTTGGTGAACGGAGGTGTTCGCGCACGTATACACGAATCTCGCTCGCTCATTATTCGCAGCAGCCCTCAGGTTGAAATGGATAAGATAAGAAGCCTTATTACCCATTATGGCTATCCGAAGTGTTGTTGAGTCAACCAGCGCGGATGTTACTACTATATAGACGCCGAAGGCCCTAACTCTCAAGCTGCAAGCTTCTCTCGAAGGCCAGCAAACACAGTACATCCACAGCAGGTTACATCTTCTGCTCCCACTGTGCAAGTCCGCCCTCAAGGAGTGCCTCAAGCCCCTCTCATGCAAGGTCAACAACACCCTTCTAACAACGACATCACCAACGTGGCGTATTGGTGTGATCTATCCCACAACTATGACAAGGAGAAGGCGCTTGATACAACGAAGGCCATCAATGCTGTTTCCCATATCAACAAGTGCCCCAACAACAAGCAGTACAAGGGAAACTCTGATAACAGGAGTATTAACTACTTCCTGACTCAGGAATCCTGAATCTTATTCGCTGTGAACTTCACCGGAATCCGAGTCCCGTTGGGAACGGGACTCGGTTCCCTCCCGCTTCCCGAGGGGAAAGCGGGAGAGAAACTCTTTTTTTGAGTGGGAACGGGAATGTGCGGGAAATCACTAATTTCCCGCTACTACAAATCGAAAACCGAAATCGTCACTCAGGAAATGTCGTCCCCTCGAAGGAGACCCCTTGCCGAACTCCTAAACCGCGGGCGAGTCAGTATTAGCCTTAGTGAAGGCTTAGCCTTCATTAAACTTCAGTGAAGCCCTGTACTGGGGCTGGTATAGGAAGAAACATGCTGATTGTAGTGATAGTCATAGTGGTTGGGACTAGAAACTTTCTAGTAGAAAGTAGTTAAGAACAACAGGAACAAGACGGTGATTGACCGATCAGTTTAAAAGCATTCGCTAGCGTATACTTACTTATTTTCCAATAGGTCGCCTATGAGGGGCCAAGACCAGATCGTTCATCTCATGACTACTGATCAGTAGCACCGTATGCTAGAGAATATCAGTAGTACTGATTCAGAGCGCGATGTTTCGAGTGAAAAACGCAATGGATTTGCAATGGATTGACTCATCGGAAATCCAGCAGCTCGTCTGCTTGGAGGTCCCCGGGATTCCTTTCTGAGACGCTGACTCGTCGACGGGCGAGAATGGCATTCCGAGCTCTAGCACGCAGCACCTTAGAAGGCAACTTGTATCATTCGCCTTGTAGCTCTTATTCAGTAAGCTTTGTAACTTAGTATCACTTGTACATTATCGGTAGTTGTGTTAGATAATCCGAAGGCGAATGGGAGTCCCATTGTGGGACTTTGACTGATAGCAATGCGAAAAAACGAAAAAATAGGATATGCGAGACTCGGCCGGGATTCGCCCCAATATCGCGGGACGGGAAGAGGAGGGAATACGCTGAAATGGGGGAAATCCCGGTTGAAGTAGGAAATACTCCAGTCGTTCCAACGGCATTGATCTTCCTATCCGATAGGACCTATTGCGTGCTCCTGCAGCCGGATTGTACTACTAGGGCGTATATTCTGGCGGTGATATAGTCAACCCACCCGCAGGTATTGATCTTATCATGAGATTCTTATGAAGAACAAAATAGCCTCAGACAAGGTGTGCAAACTTTCGGTTATGGAATGCTGAAATTCAATGTAATGAAATTTTAACGATTTTCGTTTCCGTTGTCGACACATTGTGACATTGATCTTCGTCTCCATGTGACACTTCTGGAGTCAAGAATACGCCGTATTCAATACGGCGACCGAGAAAGGCCAGGTCTCACCATACTCACGATAGCGGAGAGGATAGACAGCGAAGTACGATCGAACTTATCAATGCGGCACCCATGCGCGAGTAGGGACTCAATCAAACGAGCATAGAACTGATCGAGCACTCGTCTTCGGGGGAGCTCAATGAAATACTGTGCAGCTGCACGACGGTTGGACGAAATCGAAGACTTCCTGATCTCCTGGTGCTCAAGCTGGAGTATAGGTTGGATGTACGTCTCTGCATTTCCGCGAGTTAGGGCCGGGATGAGGCAAAGCGATTGGGCCTCACCGCAATCTCAAATAAGTCCTTGAGGACGTGGGTTAGTGGAACATTAGGAAACTTTCATATGTTGTAGATAGTACCATTTCGCACGCCAGGCAGATTTCCCTCGCAAGCACTGATTGCCCCTTGGTGTGCAGCACACTGTGCATCGTGAACGTAAATGTTGATGACCTCCGCAAGTGCCTTTTCACTGTCGGACAAGGCATTTACGAGCTCATCTAGTTTTTTGAGCATGAGAACTTACATCGAACTTACCGGACACGACAATCGGCTAGCAGAGGGTGACTGAGTGGTGGTGGATACTCTCTCTCTCTCTCCCTCCCCTCCGTCCACGGCGTGGACTCCACACCCCCTTCTTGTCTACGCGCCTCCGAGTATTGACAATAACTAGCAGATTCCTATGATGTTCGAGTGGCTGCCACTCAGTGACACATCGACCGCCTTGATTCGTGGATATGTGAGCAGGTAGTCCAAGACGACTGTTTGCTCGTTCTACGGTAGAATTGTGACTTCTTATCGACATGTCGTAAAAATCTCAAATTGAAACCATATCACGCTTTCGAGACTATCACACTCTCGTGTACCACCTATTCGTAGCCCATGTGGGGAGTTGTGGAATGGCAGGACCCTTTGCATAAGATTTGATATCGTTAACCACAGAATAACGTTAGCCGCTGATCAGTAAGCAACATGGACACCACATTTTAACAGTCAAGCTCAAGTGTACACTGTCACCTTGGCTTAGCCAGTTAACCTCATAGTACAGACACCACCACAGCGCAGCGTAAGTACCTAAGAGGTACGCGCGAACCTCAGGCTTACAGCCGGACGTAGGATTAGACTAATTTCCTAGGCAAGGTTGATATGTGTATAGCGGAGACGCCCTGCAAAGCGCAGGTTGCGGTGAATTATTTTTCGTGTTGAAAGCCTCTGATCAGTGCATTGGTTGGTCTCCGCTGATGGTGAATTGTCCTGCGAGGGACCTTGCGGACGTTTTGGTATTCCTGGTGCTCCGATAGACGAAGCCCTGGAGGATTATTCGACCATTGATATGAGTGGATTATCTCATTATTTGCGCGAATGCAATGCTGTTTGGAAGATATTTCTGTTTGAGTTTTGCGAGTTCTATTTTGTGCGTCGATTCTGCGACAGTGTTGAACTGCTTAATTGAAGCGATCACACTCCCTGATAGTCATCTGAGCTTTAATTAATCTGTGTGATTGTGTCCCGGAAGGCAGGCTTCAACTTGAAGCTGGCCTCCTGGGACACAATCACAGATTCCTTGAAGCCTTCAAGGAATCCATGATGTCCCATTTCATACTATTAGGTTGATATGATATCAGCAATAAATTTTTTTCATCGTGGGAATGGTGATGGCTATGGCTCCCCCCCTCCGGGGGGAGCTACAAGGAGTAGTGCATTAGCTATTTCTGCCAGCCACAATACTTTTGCCTTTGACTGGCATCAACAGGCATGTTCAAACTTTTCAAAATCAATCTCATTGCACGTAGAGAACGCTCAGGTGTTCAATGTATCGTCATCCGTAACGCATTAACATGACGCGTGGAAGGGAAAACAAAACCCCTACAACAAATAACAGCGAGTCTTAAAGACTTGGACGATATTCCAAGGCGAGTCCGCAGAGATACTCGACCTGTATTCGACGAATACTAACCGTTGGCGGAAGGGGCGATACGGGATGGGCGCTAAATAAATGACCGCACTCGCGTATGTGAGTTACGGATCAGATGTTTCTGCGGACAGTCCATAGAGGATTCCTCGACGGATTGTCCGCAGAAACATAGCGGTCCTATCCGCGAGATAGATTCTTGGGAAGTATGGGCATTGAAGGGCTTCCCGCGACCGAAGACTCGAGATCTGTGAGCAGCCGCCATAGGATAGCACCCGAAATTAGCAATGCTGAGCGATCGCTCAATTAACTATCCCTTGCGTGATGATCACACTCCCTGGGTCACGCCGGGATCGAGAGAGGTAATAGACGTTGGTACGCGTTGGTAATAGACGTAGACCAAACGATTAATCAATCGGATAACAGATCTAGGCTCAATTATTAGGTGTAAGAAGTACCAGAAGGAGTGAATGTTGCAAAGATGATAGAATGTCAGAGTGCACTAGAGGTAGTAGGTGGGAATAGAAAGTTCACTGGTGCCCAATGAGATTGTGTATGGTTAGGATCGGCAAATCTTAGATCTGAGGTCCACCAATAGGGATGAGATGATCCAAAAACATGAGGAGAAAATCAGCTCGCTTTAGGGAGGACACCGTTGGTAATTGGAAGACATCTGACCCCGCGTGTCGCCTCATGTCTGTCTCTTGTTTAGGTGTGAACATCTTAGGAGTGGACGGAAATATCAGGTACATTGATGAAGTGGAAGACACTATTGGTAATGAGCAAAAATATCAATCCATCGGGTTCTCCAGAATCTGGAGTCCAGACATTCGCTTTTCACTTAGATACGCGCACTTCGAGAACGCCGCTCTCGGAGCGGGCGGACTCAACCAGGGTGATGATTTGCCAGAGGACACTGGAAGTGATAGTTCGAAACGAGGGGGCATTGGTCATATGATATGCGAGTAGGATCGGCAACCCAAAGAACAGAAGTCAGAAGATCCGAAAGAACGAGGAAAAAAACTCCTCGCGTAAGGGATCCGGAGCTGCCCGTGATGATTGAATTAAGGTCGTAAATCACGGCTTGCACGCGATGAGACTACACCTTTTCCCGTGCAAGTTTGACAAGTGAGCAGACAAGAATGACAATGTCACCATCAAGAGTGACAATGAGAATCCAAGTATGTCACAATTCAATTCTGTTACAATCAAGTTTGACTTTGAGAATTCAAGTATGTCATAACCGAGATATGTTACAATCAAGATTGACAATGAAAATCCAAGTTTGTCAAAGTTCAATTATGTAATTATCACTCTTGACAATGTCAAGAGTTGCAACTGATGCTTTTTTAATTGGTCCCCAGGAGTAAAGTCGAACTGGTTAGCTTACAAAGTCCTCATATGACTTTAATGAATTCCCTCTTCCTTCTTGTGTCGCTGCCTCTCGGATTATTGTTCGCTGAGGGTGTGGTCTGTCCAGTGAAGCTGCCTTGGCATGCGGGACTGTGCGTCGATATGTGTACACAAGAGAGGCCCTGTCGTGAGTTGATCATTTTTTGAAAGTCTTTGTTCGGTATACTGGTTTGTCTTAGGTGAACGGAGGGCTCGCTCTGTGCGGGGTACCTCACAAATTTTCACCCGAGCGGGAAGGGCCCCGCGAGGGTCTAGGGCGAGCGCGGGTGGTCTCTGCCACCGGAAACTATCTTCTCTAAAGTGCATCTACTCGGAGCGATTTTTTAATGGTGACGAATTATGCTGCCAGGGGCCTTGTGGTCATTTCTGCAGTCCTGGCATTTCG